CCAGGTAGCTGGACCCGTGAAGGCTTCCCACAGTCATGGAGAGGCAGGATCCCAGCCCAGAGGCTCCTCCCTGAAGGGCCCTGTAACAATGGGCTCAAACATAGCAATGACTGTGAGGATGACGCAGTAATGGGCAGTGTTTTGTTCTGTTGTACATAGGTCGCTATGAGTTGGAACCAACTCGACGGCACCTAAGAACGAAACAATTCTTTTTTAACTTCTGCTCCAAAATTTCATTCTTTTAGAAAAGGATTTAACAAAGTCTAAAGTTCATTAGAATCTCCAGGCCTTTCCTAAGTAAAACAGAGGCTTTAGAACACTTTAAATACACACAACCCCTTCCAGCCAGCATGTTTGTGTTCAATTTTTTTTAGTTCTAGCTTGTTTTTTAATCACCCAAACCACGTTTGATTACATTCACCCGCTTATTTGGCAGTTTCTTTGCTTACTCTTCTTTCTTGTAACTTAGACCTTACTTTAGGGTCATTTTCCTTCTAGAACATATAGTTTAGTGAGATTTTGCTGGGCCTGAAACTTACTTTGTCTTAGTTGTTTAATATCAGTTTAGCTAACTATGTAATTCGAGGAAGACAGTTGTATTTTCTTAGCACTTTTAATGTATTATTCTGCTGTTTTCTGGCCCGTTATTTGCTCTGGACTTAGATACCCTGGACTTCCAGAAGAACAAACAGGTCTGTCTTGAAGAAGTACAGCCAGAGTGCTCCTTAGAAGTGAGGATGACGAGACTTCGTCTCACATACTTTGGACGTGTTGTCAGGAGGGATCAGTCCCTGGAGAAGGACATGATGCTTGGTAAAGTAGAGGGTCAGCGAAAAAGAGGAAGACCCTCAACAAGATGGGTTGACACAGTGGCTGCAACAATGGGCCAAGCATAACAACGATTGTGAGGATGGCACAGGACCAGGCAGCGTTTCAGTCTGTTGTACGTCCAGTCTCTGTGAGTCGGAACTGACTCGCCGGCACCAAACAACAACAATTGCTCTGGAGAAGTCTGCAGTCAGCCTTGTTTCTTTGTGGTCTTTTCTCTCTGCCTCCTTTATGCTCACCTCTTTTCTTTGCAGTTTTGGTGAAGTGTGCCTTGGTTTACATTTCTTTCTAATTTATCCTGCTGGGCATTCATTGTACTTCCTGAATCTCTGGAGTTAAATTTTATCAATTTTGCATTTTTCTCGCTCTGGTTTCAGTGCCGTCTTCATTTTTGGTTCTTGGGGGAGTTTATTATTTTCTCCTGGGCTCAGCTTTGCACTTCAAAGGGTATTTGTTATATCCAATAAGTGAGCGATTTGTTTTAGGTGAATTTTTTGAACGTATAATCCACCTTGCTGACGGTAGTGGCAGTCACCTGTAGCCTTTTAAATACACTACAGGGTGGCTGCTTGTTTTTACACATGTAGCATGCCTTAAGTCTAAATAAATTGTCTTTTCTTGTTCCTTGATATCAGAGTTATTGTTAGTTGCTGTCGAGTCAGTTTTAACTCACGGTGACCCCATGTGTGCAGAGTAGAACTGCTCCATAAGGTTTTCAAGGCTGTGACCTTTCAGACACAGATTGCCAGGTTTTTCTTCCAAGGCACCTCTGAGAGAGTTCAAACCACCAAACTTTCAGCTAGTAGTCAAGCCCTTAACGATTCGTACCACCCAGAAATTCCTATCATAGAGTTAGAGCGGTAGAATTAGAAGAATTTTAGCCTGTTACCTTCTTGCCATTCATTTTAAGGATGAAAAACTGAACAAGAAAAACATTATCACACCGTCTCTCCCAGACCTTCAAAACTTCCCACCCTCCCTTATCATTCCTCTGCCAATAAGATCAGCCGAGAGCAAACCACCTGATTTACACTCAAACCACAGCCCAGAAAGCCAGGCAGCCCTCAAATCCTCCATAATCCAGAAATTGATTTAGCTTCTTGTTTTTTTTTTTTGTTTTATTTTTCCTCTTTCAAAATAAAAATGTAGCTCTGTCAGGGACAGTGTTGATTGGACTGGCAAGAAAGAACGGGCTCCTTTGCCTTTCACCCTTAGTTATTAGAACGAAGAAGAGAGACAGCTAGGAGAGAGACCACCACAAAGAATATGAAGTTCATAAGATTAAGCTTTCTTTCTTTCAGTCAAAAAAGTAGCCTTCCAACTGGGCTGAGGGCTGAGGACCATGGTCTTTGGGGACATCTAGCTCAATTAGCATAACATAGTTTATAAGGAAAATGTTCTACATCCTACATTGGTCAGCAGTACCTGGGTTCTTAAAAGCTTTCGAGTGGCTATCTAAGATACTCCACTGGTCTCGCCCCATCTGGAGCACGGGAGAACGAAGAAAACCAAAGACACAAGGAAAGATTAGTCCTAAGGACTAATGGACCACAACTACCATGGCCTCCACCAGACTGAGTCCAGCACAACTAGATGGTGCCCAGCTACCACCACCGACTGCTGTGACAGGGATCACAATAGAAGGTCCTGGGCAGAGCTGGAGAAAGATGTAGAACAAAATTCTAACTCACAGATAAAAGACCAGACTTACTGGTCTGACAGAGACTGGAGAAACCCTGAGAGTATGGCCCCCAGACACCCTTTTAACTCAGTACTGAAGTCACTCCTGAGGGTCACCCATAAAACGGACAATAACACACATAGCTCAACCATGTCTATGAGATTAAACGGGCACACCAGCCCAGGGGCAAGGACGAGGAGGCAGGAGAGGACAGGAAAGCTGGACAAAGGGAAATGGGGAACCCAGGGTCGAGAAGGGGAGTGTGTTGACACGTCACAGGGTTGGCAACCAATGTCACAAAACAATGTGTATTAACCGTTTAATGAGAAACTACTTTGCTCTGTAAACCTTCACCTACAGCACACACACACAGAAGTAACCTTATGGTTCCCAAAAACCAAACCTGTTGCTATGGAGTTGATTTCGACTCATAGCTACCCTATAGGACAGAGTAGAACTGCCCCATAGAGTCCCCAGGCTGGAAATATTTACAGAAGCAGACTGCCACATCTTTCTCCCATGGAGCCACGGGTGGGTTCAAACTGCCAATCTTTTGGTTCGTAGCCAAGTACTTAACCACTGCGCTGCCAGTGCTCCTTCCAGTTCCCAAAGGAAGGCGTATTAATTTCCTGGGGCTGTCCTAATAAATTACCACACACTGTGTGGCTTAATGCTCCTTAGAAGGAAGGATGGCGAGACTACGTCTTACATACTTTGGACGTGTTGTCATGAGGGATCAGTCCCTGGAGAAGGACATGATGCTTGATAAAGCACAGGGTCAGTGAAAAAGAGGAAGCCCCTCAACAAGATGGATTGACACAGTGGCTGCAACTATGGGCTCAAGCGTAGCAACAATTGGGAGCAGGGCGCAGCACCGGGCAGTGTTCTGTGGTACATGGGGTTGCTATGAGTTGGAACCGATGTGACAGCGCCTGACAACAAAAACGATGAGTGGCTTAAAGCAACAAGAATTTATCCTCTTGAGGTTTTGGCAGCCAGAAGTCTGTTACAAGGTGTGGGCAGGACCGTGCTCTCTCTGAAGGGTCTAGGGGAGGGCCCTTCCTTGTCTCTCTCAGCTTCTGGTGGCCCCAGACTTGTGGCTGCATCACTCCACTCTCAGCCCCCATGTTCACAGAGCTTTCTTACTTCTTCCCTGCGTCTCCCCTCTGTGTGTCTCTGTTTACGAGGACACTGGTCATTGGCTTCAGGGCCCATCTGGTTAATCCGGGATGTTCTTGAGACCCTTAAATTAATTACTCCTGCAAAGATCCTTTTTCCAAATAAGCTCTCATTTACAGGTATGGGGGGTTAGGAATTGGACATATCTTTGGGGGGCCATAATTCAGCCCACTACAGCAGGGTAGATGTTGGCGGTGGGAGTGCGGGGGGTGGTGAGAATCACAGTCAGCGTTGTGAGGACCCTGCTGAGCCTGCCCTCTGCGCCCTCAGGACGAGCCACCCCGCAGGGCCTTGGCAAACTCAGGGTAGCGTCCGGGGCGGGGTGCAGGCAGGAGAACAAGGCTGCTGTCGCAGCTGCAGTGGGGGGAGCGCCCTCCCCAGGGAAGAAAAGGTCCCTCTCCTACAGCGGCCCCTGGCGCCCTCTACTGACCAAGTTTTGCATCACATCAGCTGCCAAAGGAATAACACTTGATCCATTCTTACCTTCCCATGGAGCCGCAACTAAGGGTTACTTTGGAGCTGAGAGTTAGAGAGCTGAAAATGTCACCCTGAGCCCTGCATCCCCCAGGGGTTCAGGGCAGAACCGGCCGTAGCCCAGGAGGGCTGGACATTCATTCTGCAAGCATCTGGGTGGTCAAGACCTGGGATGGGGCCGGTCTCTGGGATGGACCCAGAGAGACTTGGCCCTGGGGAGGGGCAGCGAGGGACTGTGGACCTGGGGCCGATGGCCTGGCCTGGGCGGGGCCAAAGGTTCCAAGGCCCTGAGGAGAGGGTGAGTGGGGCACAGCCAAGGGGACGGGCCTAGGGTTGGTGTGCTGGGAGAAGTGTGGTTCTGGGGTCCCAGGGGGCACTGAATCCTGAGGAGAACTGGAGAGCTCTGCTTCCAGGTGGTCCAGGAGGGACTGGCCGTTAGGAGGCGAGGCCACACCTCCCAGAAGACCAGGGGGCTCCTTTCCCTGACTGACAGACCATACCAACCTCTCTCCCCGGGCTCATATTAGATAGTCCCGTCATTTCACCAGGCTCTAGACTTCACCTTTTCAGGGCTGAACTGCTGTGCAGTCCTGGGCTGAGAGTGAGCTCTCTGTGCCTTATGGTGAGGCTACAGCTGTGTGTAGAGGCCTAAACACCATGGAGGTGATTGGCTGGGAAAGAAAACCTCAGTCGACAACACCCTGACCACTTCAGGGACCCTCCGGGTTTTTCCACCTCATCCCTTTACACGAAAGCAGAGAATCTGTTTACTAGTTATTTCTGCTCTCTTGATACTCTCGGGGAGTGGAAGGGTTCAGCAGACTTGCTCTGAAGCCCCTCAGAGCTGGGGAGGTGGAGGTGTGTGGTGGCCGCATTTCCTTCTGTGCCCAATGAGGCTTGACTTTACACTAAAGCCTCGCCCACACTCCCTGCAGACATAGGGCTTCTCCCCTGAGTGTGTCCTCTGGTGTGTGATGAGGTTTGACTTA